GGTCCGGACTGTACACAGTAAATTAGAGACAGTAATGTTGTTACTGGGAAAAGTTTTATTCGAGGCCGTTGCTCTGGATTCATCTGTGGATCCTCCCAAGTGTAGCTCACTAACTCTTTATCCACATAATCATCTATCCATCAGCAGCCACTGTGTGTCTGTCATAGGCCAAGCATTGTGTGCTGAGATTCAGAGAAAAGGCCACAGGCACCGGCCAGAAATGTTCACAGGTAGTTAGAGAAGCCATGGAGCAGCCGCCATGGTGAGGACTGGTGACAGCTGTGACATACACACCATGGTACCACAGAGAAGGGGCCTCGGAGGTAAAGCAGGAGGGCAAGAGAAGGCATTCTCCTGGGCAGACTCTCGAGAGCAATAGCTTGTCCAGAAGAAGGGCGAGGTAGATGTGTAAGAATAACGAGAGTGAGGCTTAAAGCCAGAAACAGAGGCAAAATGCAGATAATGATGGATTTTGGAAATGCTGGGGTTGCCTAAGGGAGTTTAGTCAGGGATATGACTTGACAAGAATCGTGCTTTAAAATCACCGTGGTGACCATGCACGGGGTCAGAGGAGGGCAGAAGTGGGAGCAGCAGAGAGCTCCTGAGTCACATGGATTAGCTCTGATAGGGCCTGGAACCAAGGTGCTAATGGTGGGAGTCAGGGAAAGGAACAGATTCACATGCTGTTGGGGAAGTGAAATTTACGAGATCCAGTGCATGTTGGGATGGTAGGATAAGGGACGGGAGCAGTCTGAGAGGGCACCCTGGTGTGCGGGAGGAGACCAGGTGGGAAGGCCTGTTTTTCCCTAAGATGGAAATGCTGGGAGAGCTGCGGGTGGGGTGAAGTAGGATCGTTAATTAAGTCTGAAACATGCTGAATCTGAGATGATGCTGAGTATTCAAGTCGAGATATCTGTTGGCAGTTGGCTGTTCCAGGCTGGAGGTGCTGGAAAGGATAGTTGGGAGTCATTGGCATATGTGGTTGTCGAAGCCTTTTACTCGTTCAGTAAATTTTAAGGGAGTAAGTCAGGCCAGCTTCGTGGATGTGCAACTGTGGGTCACACAGGCCTCACTCTAGGGAGGGCCCCACATTGGGTTTGATGCACTGTTGTCACCATCTTAAAATACTCATTAATTTTTAATCAAGAGGCTCTGCACTTTTATCTTGCACTGGACCCTGGAACTTAGGTACCCGGTCCTGCTTATTGTGGCTTGGCCCTGTTTTCTTTTCTTTCTTTTTTTTTTTTTTTTTTAGACAGGGTTTCACTTTATTGAGTAACAATGGCATCATAGTTTTAGTTGCTGGTGGCAGATAGCTGGGAGAGAAGGAAAGTGCTCTTAGAGGACATCGGCCAGAAGGCCCAGCTCACTGTACTCACTGTACCACCCACTGCTTCGGCCACAGCTCATGGGAGTTGGAGTCAAGATCCAGCCCTGTACCCTATGAATGTATCACCATATATTCCATTCCCAAGCCTACCTCTCCTTTGGACCCCCTGTGGATGCCCCGGCCCTTCTTCCTCTTGGGAGATGAGGTCAGGAGTAGGCGTAGGAGCAGGACTGAGGCTACAGTGTTGTGTAAGACAGCCATGGTTCTTTCCTTAGGTGCTCACAGGCCTGCATGTTAAGTCATCAACAACAAAACGTGATGTGCTCTGTATTAGAAGTAGCAGGCTCAGGGACGACTTGGGAGAGGTGGTTAAACCTAACCTTGGGAATGAGAGAGTTAGGAAATGAGATTACCCAGGAAGCGGAGGAGAGAGACAAAATGGTAGCCCATAACATCAGAGGAGGCATAGAGAAGTCTGAGAAGGGAGCCTTCAGGGACATAGGGAATCAGGAGAAGGGGTGTCCCAGAAGCCAGATCAGAAGAGACTGTCCAGTGCTACCAAGTAGATTAGGAATAAGGTCATATCGAGTGGATAGAGCAACAAAAGAGGCCATTGGATGCTTTTGAGAGCAGTTGGTTAGAGAGAGGGCCAAGAATTAATTTACCTCTGTTACCAAGAATGTATTTACTAAGGGATCAGTGGGAGGTGGGGAAGTACAACCCCTAAATGTAGGTTATTATCTTAGTCGGAGAGAAAAGAAAACAGGCCCTACAAGGTGGGTTGTGGATTAGGAGAATATCAGTTTTTGTTACGTTTTGTTTGATTATAAGCTGAAAGTGTTTTGAGCACAGGTTTGAACTATGGGCCTATGGGCAGAGAGCCATAGGTACAGAGAGGGAATAACTCATGTAGGGAAGGCCTGCATGGGAAGTAATGTATGGACACACCCTGGTCGGGAAGAGAAGAGAACAGGATAGCGGAGGGAGCAGGTGCATTTCTAGGTGAAGACCCCACTTGGCTTGGAAGTCAACTCCACTTGTGCATGGGAGCATCTGCTACCTCTGTCTTTCTGGCCTCGAATTCAAGGGAAACACGTCTCCGGAGTTCTCTCATTTGCTCTCGTATTCAACAAATAGTTACAGGGCTCCTGCTGTGTGACAGGAGAGCATTTGGAATCTAAGAGCAAACAAGGCCGCTGAGCTCACCTGTAGGTCCTACAAGAGGAACTTCTATGGCCTGATGGCGCAGTGTTGGCTCCTCCCCACCCACCCTTCTCCGCAGTCTCTGACACTGTCTTCCGTCTTCTCTACCTTCCTCCTTTGATTCATTATCTTTTCCTTCCTTCCCAGATAGCCAGCTGTCCTAGTTGGAGCCTGGAAGCTGGGATTCAGGGACCATGTAGAAAAGGGGAAGAAAAGTGAAAACTAGTTGTAAGCAAATTTTTGAAATAGAAGGTTGCCCTTGGAACTTATTGCCTAATGACTTTTGATCTTATCCCCCTGGTTCTCACGGCCCTTCATGCTACTTTGAGATAAGGCTCTAACCTAGACCTTCTTTCAAGCTCTCCAGATCTCTCCATCCTCTGTCAAATCCCCTAATCCCTTATTCAGGAGTTAGCCTTAGCTGATGAATTAGGATAGAGTCCATTTGAGTGAACATACTGATTTGTGAATGGTGGATATCACCTTTCTTGCCTGGGGGGGGGGGGGGGGGGGGGGGGGGGGTTGCACTTTACAAGTGACTCTGGATTTATAAGAAGGAAATTTAATGTGTCCTATTTTTGGCATCATCATAAAAAAGCCATATGAATATTACATCTTTTTCCCAGTCAGTTCCCCTAAAACTTTCCATTTTCTTACAGCTTCCACTGGTTTTCTTGTAGACCCACTAATTCTCTAAAGCCCTGTGTGTTGTTCGGTATCATCCCCTCCCTTACCTGCCCTCCTATCAGTTTCTATGACAGCAACTAGGCATAGGTGGTGTGGGGCACGGGTGGGAGGAGGGCAGGGGAGAGATTGGGACAGCTGCAGCCATTTATAGGGATTGCTTCTGAGTTGGGGACCACCTCTGTTGGTGGAGGAAGGGGTGGCTGGGGACTCTTGGCACAAAGAATACAGCTGACCCTAGAGTCAGTGATGCAGCCACCCGGAGCTGAGCTCAGGGAAGGCATTTCCCTGCCTTGGGGCTCTTCACAGAGAAGTGTGTGGGATTCCTGCTTCCTGGTACCCGGGAGCTGTTGGGTTCCTATAGCAGTTCGCAAGCAACTTCACTGACTGGTAGGGGGAAAATGGCTGCTAGGAACCACTTCAGAAAAGAAGATCCAGGAACAGGAGGCTCCATCTGGACGAGGCCTAGGAAACGTTCCTCCACTGTTAGCAATGCTGTGGCCTCTCCCTTAGGTAGCTCCTCTGGGGAGCTCTTTTCTCACAAATGCTTGAGTCAGCAGTAGCTTTGGGGCACATTTGTGGATGTGTGTGATTTTCCCTAAGGTTCGGGATGAGATGAAAATGTTTTTTCCCGGACCCAGAATACTATCCCTGAACTCAGGAGTCTCAGTCAGGCATTCTCAGATTGGATCACCTGGGGATCGTATAACAGTGAAGATTCTGATACAGTAAGTCTGGGGTGGGACCCGAGAGTCTGCATTTCTGATATGATCCCAGGTGAAGCCAGTGCTCCTGGCCCAAGGACACGTGAAGTAATGAGGATCTGAAGCTGTACTGTCTACTACATTAAGCGCTAGCCATTGTGACTGCTTAAACTTAAAGATAAATGAATTTAAATTAAGTAAATAAAAAAAATTCACTCTCTCAGCTGCACTAACCATAATTTAGATGCTCGTTACCCACATGTGGCTGTTGGCTGCCATATTAGATTACACAGATTAAAATATTTCCATTATCACAGAAAGTTCTGTTGGAGAACATTAGTTTACAGTAAGCCTCAGTTTCCCTCATTTACTTCTTCATCCATTTATTCACTGAACATCTATTACATGCCAAGGAGGATGATTGGTCCTGGCCATTAAGGGATGGTTCCAGCTAACAGAAAAAGAAAACGTCAGCTACCCCAAATGTAATGTTCTTAAAGTAAAGATACCTATAATATGGTGAGGGATCCTTAGTTGGTAACAGTGAATGTTGCCATGCAGGTTAGAGGAAAAGGCGTCACTAGGGCATTTCATGTGTGTTTTTTGTTTGTTTGTTTTTTTTAAGATTTTATTTATTTATTTGACAGAGGTCACAAGTAGGCAGAGAGGCAGGTAGAGAGAGAGAGAGGAGGAAGCAGGCTCCCTGCTGAGCAGAGAGCCCAAAGTGGGGCTTGATCCCAGGACCCTGAGATCATGACCTGAGCCAAAGGCAGAGGCTTAACCCACTGAGCCACCCAGGAGCCCCGTGTATTCTTTTTTTTAAGATTTTATTTATTTATTGAGAGGGAGAGAGAGTGTGTAAATGCATGTGAGTTGGGGGAAAGGGAGAATCTCAAGCTAAGCACAGAGCCTGACGTGGGGCTTGGTGTCACAACCTGAGCCGAGATCAAGAATCAGACGCTGAACTGACTGAGCCCCCCAGGCACCCCTCATGCGTGCTCTGAACCAAGCTGTGCACATAGCACAGAATTGAGGTCCTTAGGAGGTCGGCTACTGACAGTACATTTTTACCATTTCAGGGCCATAATCATCAGAAATGGAGAAATCATCCCCATGTCTTCAGAATTTACCCCTGAGACTGAGCGCCAGCGACTTCAGTACCTGGTAAGAGTCGTGTCAGTTTGGTGGAGCGCCGTGGTGTTGGGAATGGTGTCAGAGCTGTTTTGGAGAAACGTGTTGCTATTGACATGGGAGCAGGCCCACAGCAGTCAAACGACATATGGTCTTAACTCCCTCACACACACCTTCTGGATCACACATCCTAGCTCCGTGTGTGACGACACACTCCACCTCCGTGAATTTATTATTGTGGCTGTTTTCCTCCCATCTGTAACCAGTCGAAGACACGATGTGCTCTGTTTCTTTTAATGGTTTGGTATGTACAATATGAGATGGGGTGTTGGATAACACAGTTACCATTCTTCTACCCCTCCCTTGAACTTAAGATGGGGGCTCAGTCCTAAGGAGGAGGGCAGCCCCAAGATCCCACTGACACTCCACCGCTTCACACGCAGATATGAAGTCTCAGGGGCCCCTTGGGAAAGACGCAGGTGTCAGAAAACCTGTTTCTGTCCTGAAAATAAGTTCTCCGTGTAGCTCACCCTCTTCGGAGTGAAATTACGAGTAGGCTATAGGAGGGCTATTTGGTTTTTCAGATCTTGAGAGTTTTTGCTTCACTTCGAGATTTGAGTTTTCTGGAAAAGAGAAGGCACTTCCCTGTCCTCAGATTCCAGGGTCAGGGCATTTGGCTTTGAATCTCAGTTCAGTGACAATGGCAATCGTGTGAGGTTATGATCTTTGGGGACTGACAGCGTGATTATTCGTCCTATGGATGACATCTTTTTTCTTACCAACTGGCTTCCTTTTTGGACAGCACAGCTAAGGTAGTGATCCTCTGCTCTTAGGACAAAATTGATCCTGGCTACTCAAGAAGGACTTTGCTCGTGTCTTTGCATTTTGGCGTGTGTGAACAGTCCAGGTTTGATCACTTTGACCAGTTTAGAAAGGGCTGTGCATGTTCCCTTAGCTTCCTTGTCTAATTTGTTTTACTCAATATCTAAGCTGTGCTGGTCTGGTGCATAATGACAGCAGAATTCAAACCCAATATGAAAACATTCATTTCTCTCTTTCACCAACTGTTGTTCTCTAACCTTTCTGTTGTTTGTTTTTCAAACGAATAAACTTGTAGCCACTCCGGGGAAGCCCAGGCTTCAGAACGCCCATTCTCTTTGGCGGTCTGGGTGGGGGAAGGGACCATGCGGCAGCCGCAAAATATCCTCATTACCGTGCCAAGTCAGCGAGTTGCTGGCTTTCCCCAATCCATCTTCCACAAAGCCACCCCAGTGAGCTTATCATGAACTGTGTCACTCCCCTGCCTAAAATCCTTTTGGCTCCTCATAGTGTACAGAATGCGGACCACACTCTGTAGACCCAGAATCATGGTCTCCATCCACCTCTCCTCCATCGTTTCTCTGCTGCCTCTACCAACGCCACCATGTGTCTCGGGCTGTAGGCAGAGAACCACCTTCCATTTCTGGGCCACACTTTGATCTCCCCAATCTGCATGCCTTTGGACATATGCCCTTCCTGGGTAGCCTTCCCCTGTCCTCTGCCAGGGAAACTGCTCTTCATGCTTTGAGACCCCAGCATAAATGTCACATCCTCTAGGAAGCTTCCTCTCCCTCTCCTAGGGGTGGGTGTCAGTCCCCCGTGCTCGTGCCCTGGAAGTACCCCCACAGAAGCCCCATGCTATTGTATTGCTGGTTGCCATCCCTCTTTCCCCTTCCCGACTGAGTCCTGGAGGGCAGGCTCCTTGCCTTTGTCACTTCATGTTGTACCCCGCATGGAAGAGATACTGAACCAGGATTCACTGAATAAAGGGAAGAAAGAACCAATATCTGTATTGACTTCTGGATCATTACCACACAGTACTCTCCCCTCCTCCTTCCCCTGAAACTTGTCACAGCCCTTTGCCTGGCCATGCCTCAAGTACACTGTCTTCATCACCTCCTTGCCCTTTCATGAAAACTGTGTCCTGTTTTCCTGCCGAAGCCAATGGGAAACAGCAGGTTGACTTTTTTTTTGTTTTGCAGTGATTTCATGTCTTCATGTTACAAGAACGGTAGAGAGTTCAAAATGTTAACTTTTAAGGAGGGATGGGAATGCTGACATTCATCAGATTCCTAATATTGGTGGTATATATATATTTTTTTTCTTTTTATATAAAGATTTACTTATTTATTTATTTGACAGACAGAGATCACAAGTAGGCAGAGAGGCAGGCAGGGAGAGAGGAAGGGCAGCAGGCTCCCTGCTGAGCAGAGAGCCTGATGCGGGGGCTCAGTCCCAGGACCCCAGGATCATGACCTGAGCCGAAGGCAGAGGCTTAACCCACTGAGCCACCCAGGTGCCCCTGGTGGTATATTTTTTGATCGTTGCAATGAGATGTTGTTTCTTCCAATCTCAGCTTTGTCGTGTGACTGTGTCTGTGATTTCAACAAGGCCCTTCCCTGATCCACAGCTTTATCACCAGTAACAGACGTAGAAAGCCTTAGAAGACAGGTTTAAAGACTAAGTGAAAACTACATGTAGAATTCTTTTGTGCAGAGTCCTCATTTGATTATTATTTGATGAATTAGTCTTGCCACTTCAAATCCTACTGGCCTGCAAACCACAATGATTCTTTCCCTTATTTTTTTAATTTAAGAATCACTCCTAAAGATGTTCCTAAAGATGAATGTGTATTTTTGTGTCACTCAGACACTGTGTACACTCTTAGCCCACAGAACTGAGCCTAATTGCTGAATTTCTAAAAGGTAAGAAAGCCGTCCCCGTTCTTTTTCATCCTTTCTTCTAAATCATTCACATTTCTCTGGTTTATAACTATTCTCCCCAAACAACAGAACTGTAAATGACCAGAACATAAAATATCCTGGCTGTCCAACTTCCCATTCTGTCAGGAGTCTAGAAATGTATGCTTCAAATTGAACAAATCCAGTAACTGCAGTCACATGATCTGTGATGCAAATCTTTTGTTTTTGTTTTTGTTTTTAAGTGAAATTTTGAGAGAATTAGGGGGTTTATAGTATAAAGTGTTAAAAATAATATCAAGGGGTGCCTGGGTGGCTCAGTCGTTAAGCGTCTGCCTTCGGTACGGGTCATGATCCCAGGGTCCCGGGGTCAAGCCCTGCATCAGGCTCCCTGTTCGGTGGGAAGTCTGCTTCTCCCTCTCCCACTCCCCCCTGCTTGTGTTCCCTCTCTCACTGTCTCTCTATCTGCCAAATAAATAAATAAAATCTTTTAAAAAAATAAAAATAATATCAGTTATGAGAGGAAAACAGTAGTGTGATAACTTTTCTCAGCCCAGCCCAGACACAGCTTTATGATCACACAATGTCCCTGAAGGACACCTCCCTTGAAATATTCATTGTAGGTTCTGAAATCAAAATGAAAAGTAATCCCATGGTAATAGAAAGCACAGTATATATTGTAATCATTTTAAGTGCATCTAATCCTACCAGTTCATTTTTTTCTTGGAAGATCAGTTCCCTTGAACTAATTATGAAACACTTTAGTGTAATGGGGATTGTAGTATTCTTTACGTGATCTAAACGAGTTAGTACATCCCTGGAAAGTTAACAATGTACTCCTTATTCTTAGGTCAAATTAAATTTTCTTTTTAAGATGTGTGAGGAAACATTTATGATAAAATCATTAAAGCTTCTGGGTCCCTGGAGACTTGACTTGAGCATGTGTCTGCAGTTCGATGTGTAGAAATGGTTAATGGTTTTCTTGGAGGCGGTGAAGATTCAGAGCTCATTGTACGTGAGCCGTTTTGATCCACATCGAAGAGGAATGTTCTTGGTATGCACAGTCTGGACGTTTGGGGATTACAGAACTGGAAGCAGATTACAAGATGATGGATGTGGCAGGCGTGTTAGTTTTGTGTGGTCTTGCGTCCTGACCTCAGGAGGGCCCTTCGTGCTGCTCTCCCGTAATGTGAATTTTGTTTCATAGATTCTTGGGCAGGGTGATTAATCAAGCAGGCTTGAGGGTTTGACGTGTTCACACGGAATGTGGCAGGTGTGTGGCGAAGGGGTCAGGGGCTGTGAACTTCTGCCCCGGAAGCCAGGGAAAGCTGCCGTCCTACAGTCATGAGTAAGCCTCGCTCTTCTGTCACTGCGCCTTTTTTTTTTTTTTAATGTTTCTAGGATGATTGAAGTAAAATATTTAAGGAGGTCCACCAAGCTAAATGGGATGTTTGGATGGAGTCAGGGCACAGACGGGAGGGAAGGCCGTCTGGTCATGGTTGTGTCTCGGCGGAATTTACTGCTTTGATGCTGCCTGCAGAAAACCACCCCCACCTCTGCTTCAGGTGACAGCCAGAGATGGATCTCCCTCAGGGGGACCTCTGGAGCCCCGAGGTGTGAGAGTGATGGCTTCCCCTCCATTCTGCCTAGACATATTTATAAACTCTGATTTGATTACATTAAGATGTGCTGGTATCATCAAACCTTCAAATAATGCACTTCTGTCCTTGTAGATAATCCAAGTCTGCAGCTGTTTTTCATCAAGGGCAATGTACAGAAGAGATGAAAGTGGGTTTCAAATACACATTTGATACGTACAAGTGCAACATTATCCGAGGTGATTTCCTGCGGTGTCCTTGGAACTACCCCCAGCCTTCTCCGCCGAGTCCGATTCTGTTTGCGTGCCGTTTCCCTGGTGTTGGGTTTGGAAAGCTTTCAAGGAGGACAGTGCTGCTCCTTTTGGCTTTTTGGGATTTTTCGTGCTCAAGAGTGATCTCCCAAAAGTATATTCCTTAACCTGCTTTTTAAAACAGGATACTGTAATGTGGGGGAGTGTCAAGTGTGCTAGTGTATAAAAGTGACTGACCCACCACCCCCACCATACCATTTAGTCTCAAGAGCAGGTTGAGCCCCGGAGGCCTTTAGTCATAGGGCGGCAACTGCACCATCACTGTGCTTCCCTTGATGACTGAGTCATGGAAAAATCCGCTTCAATCCTCTCTCTTTTTTTTCCCCTTTAAACCTTTCTCGCAAAACTGCCTGTGAGTTTCAGAATTTCTAATTGAAATACGGCAG